GTCGAAGGAAGAGGAGAATGGTTCCATGAAGTCGATGCCCCATACATTGAAGGTTTCACATACCAGAATGAGTGTAAGTGGCATTTGATCCTTGCAGCCGATGTTTCCAGTGTGTTGGTAGTTTTTACAGGTTTTGCAATACGTGTATGCATTATTAAACAATGTTGGCTAAAACAAACTACTCTCGAGTCCTCAAGAACAATTGTCTCATTCAATTTCCAGCCCAAGAAATATATTTTACAGCAATTCTAATTCAAGGAGACTCATTAAAGAAAGAAGAACATAGAGCCAAAGTCAACTAGAAGTCCAAGACTAAGGAGAAGAGCAAAATCGGCCATGAAGATGACTTTATTAATTAATTGTTGTTTTTTTATTCCTATTCCATTTAGTATTAGATTATTTTATGTATTTAAATTCAAATTATGATAGAATTTTATTATTTAATTAATTAGGTATTTATTTTTCAATTAAATTAGAAATTAGAATATGGATAAGGATCCTAAATCCTACTCCATGTAAAAGTATTAATTAAGAGCTTATATAAAGGCCTTAGCTCAAGCATTGTCAATACAATCTTCTAAGAATTAATAAAATTAAATTTTGAGCTTTTATTAGCCTTGTGCTATGTTTTCTCTTCAAGTTCTTTCAAGTTAGGTGAGCTTGTCAAAGTCTTGATTGAGCCAAGAATTGGGATTGACTTATCAAGTAAGTCCGTGATGTCTTTCTTTTTCTTGTTTTTATTTTTCTAATTTTTGTTTTTACATTCCTAATTTTTAGGGTTGTGAAATTCAATTAGAGAGAAAGATTTAAATTAAGTTGTTTGAGTTTTGATATTGCATGCGATCGGGTTAAGTTTCTGGAAGTCAAAACGATCCTCCCCATACCCTCTCGCGCAGGTGGTATCAGAGCTTAAGCTCCTAATGAATCTATTTATGTTTATTGTTTTAGCATTCTTGTAAATTAATTAACAATTAAAATTAATTTTTTATTTATTAATTTGTATTGCATTCCGTTTGAATTCATATCTATCCGTTTAATTCAAGTGGTTCGTATTTATTACCAAAAAAATATATAAATTAAAAATACAAAAATATCTCAATTGCACACCATAAGACAATTGGCACATTGTTGCATATTGCATTCAAAAATAGAATAATCACCTAGTAAGTGAGATTGGAAAACCTTTGTGAATTCGAAGGCAGAGTATCTCACCTAAAAAGTTTCGGGTGAAAACTTTTAAGATTCATTCATCTACATCATTCACTTATATACATTGAGCTATAGAGTCATCTAACTTTATGACTTTTGCCATAGCCTTGAGACTAACGTGCAAGTCCCTGTTAAAAAGATTTGACTTCAAAGCTCAACCTGACAAACAACAGGCTCATCATGGCACCAAAAATAGAAACAGTGAAACAAGTACATATGAGGATGTGTGAGACCCCTCCTAGATACCAACCAAATTATTTTCACATGTTTCTTGCTTCGTTATATGCCCTTAGTTATTTTCAAGATAAAGATTCATATTCGAAGATGAATCATTTTGAAGAATGAGGGGATGATGTGATATC